ATGCATTTACTGTTTTCTTTCACCTACTAAATTTTATACTAAATATTTTTAAAATCACTTAAAAACTTAAGTTTGGGGGAAAGAAAAATTTCTTTTAAAAAGAAATAAACTAAATTTTATTTGTCCTTAATTAACTATATTTTTAAAAATTAATTTAACATGGTATGGGATATTAAGATTTAACTTTAAATGAATATACTTCTGTTTATAAATATTATGGTAAATTTAGGTAAAAAGTTTTTAATAATGAAGGTCAATTCTAAAGTTAAAGATATTTTGTATTATAGGATAAGACTATGTTTTTCTATTTAAAGTAAAGAAAAATGTATTTTTGAAGTGTTAAGAATTTTAAAGTTTTGTGTAAGAAGAAACAAATGGGACTTTAAGAAAAATCAATATAAACTTATAAAGTGAAGAAATGTATAGAGTTTTAACTTTAAGAAGAGGATAGTTAAGTTCAAAATCATTAAAGACTATGCAGATATAATAATATATAAAAGATTGAAAAGATCCTAAAAGAATAAAAAAAGAGAAAAAGAAAAAGAAAAGAAAAATAAGTGAGGAGAAGCTTGAGGAAATGCTCAATAAAAAATTGGTTTACTTGAATCAACATAAGGAAGAAGCTTTATTACATATTCTAAACTTATATTGCAAACTTTTGTTTGAGTATTAGTAGCATTCTTAGTAAATTTTTTAAGAAGTTCTTTTTCATATGAATGCTCTAAATGTTCTTAATATGACAAATTACAATTCTTCTTGAAAAAATAGTGATTCAGAAGTCTTAAATTTGATTACTGAGTATTCCTAAACTTAGAGTTTGAATCTAAGTTATTAAATGTTTTTCTTAAGTTTTACTATTCTATTTATTAAACTGAAGTATAGAAGTTATAAGTTAATTTCTATCTTACGTCATATGCTTTTATGTAATAAAAGTGCCACTTGAGGACAAATAACATTAAGTTTGGGGGATTTTGATAAACCAAAATAATATACTATTTAAAGTACATATTTTATGCTTATTTTTTGTGTTATTGCACTTTAAAGAAGGGTGTTTTCATATTTTTATTGCAGGTATATCATTTTTAGGAATTTGGAGCAAAAATGACAAAAAAGAAGAAATTTGGAGCCAAAATAATGAATTTTGGGTTTCTGGCGCATGTTGTGCCAGAGACGACTTTTTGCAAATTAAGTAGGTTCGAGACAAATTTTGAGCGAATTTTCAAAGGGACACTTGTTCTACACACCTATTGGAGTAATTTAATGCATCTAGACACTTTGGAAGGTTATTTTATAAGGGATATGCCTCTTGGATCAAATGACATATCTTTTGAATTCAAAAAAGTTGACTTTTGGAGGGAATTTGGAATTCTTTTCAAATGAGGCGGCTCAAAAATAAAAGAGAAGACTTCAAGAGGCTTGGAGGGGGGGACGAGAAAGAGAGAGAGAGAGAAAGTTGGCGTGAGAGGCAAGAGGAGAGAAGAGAAGATTTTCTTCTAGGGTTCTAAGAGGAGAGGGAATGTGAGAGATTTCTTCTTCATTACACTTCTAAGAGAGAATTGAGTGGAATTGTAAATCCTACATTTCCTAAGAGAGGCTACAAGGGATTTGCTTTGAGAAAGAGTTTCAGATAAGTGTTGTTTGTTTATTATTGTTGTGTGAACTTCCTTTTATATATGAAATTCGTGTTTTGTCTTATCCTTCTCATGAATTTTGAGTGGTTTTCTTTATTGAATTGATTTTGTCTTCTATGTTTTTAAATGTTAAAAATTTGTGATGATTTGAACTCTGATCTTCATTTACTTTTTGATCTGACCAATTGAAATGTTAAAACTTGTTGAGACACATATGTTATTAAAAGGAATATGATTTCTACAACATAGAAAGAATCACATTTGATTTCATGGAAGAGTATGTTATCCACAGGATTGGATGCAAATAAATAGGGAATCATACTTTGTTGGATGCAGAATTGGAGATTTTAAGATGACAGATTAAAATCCCCAATTTGGTCCAGTTGATTGGAAACTGATGCAAGATTGCTAGCCATCAGGTGAGGGAGTAGTGGGAGCCTTAGAGTGATAGCTGATATCCTTCCAGCCTACCCACGGAATTAGGGACCAAACTCTGGACTAGTCAATGTTCTTTATAACATTCAGAAGAGGGTAAAGAATAAGATTGCTCATATTTGACACAAAACAATTTTTATATATATTTTAAAATGATTTCAATTTTTTCACAATCCATATACTCATTGTAAAGGGGAAGGATGCTTTATTAAATTTGAACTTTCTGTCAAAACGAAAACTTTGTTTAGTTTTCGTAATTTTATTTTTGAATATTAGTTCTTAGTTAGTTAACTTTGTTTTTCAACTACATTTTATTCAACATTTACCTTAGTAGTTAATATTTAAACTTCACACTTTACTTTAATTTTTATATTTTTAATTATAAAATAATTTCAACAAGTTAATTAAAAGATTTTCCAACTTCCCTTTGGAACCAATATCTAAGACTCCATTAGAGCCCTCTTATTACTTGAGTGATATGTGTACTTGCGTTGATTTTAATGGGGATTTGACAATTTAAAAAGATTTTAAAAGATAAATTCTTTTCATAAAAGATATTTTTTTGGATTATATTACATACTTATTATATATCTGCCATGTGTAATTTTGTAATATTGAAAAATATTTGCAAAATTTAAACATTAAATCCGTCCCGCATCAGACTTCTACGGACATGATTAAAAGGAGAATCTATTAAAAATGTAAGACTAGTTCTAAGTTTTATAACCGGAGATGCTTGACGGTATTATGCCATAACAGACAAAGCCATATGAAATGCCCTGAGGATGATTGACCTATCTTAGGTTGTTAATTGAAGCTTTTGCTTGATGACTGTAACCTATTATGGAAGAGGTCCAAGGAAATCCACCAAGGATTTTTTACCTATCCGAGGTTGTATGTCGAAGCTTTTGTTTGATGACTGAATCCTGTAATTGAAACAGTTGAATCAAGTCCCCTAGGATCAATTAAGCACAGAATGAGGTGTCAGAGATGCTCTACGTTTTTAAAGACTGGGGCATAGGTTACAATGGACCATATGTTTTCTTAGAAATATGTTTTTCGTCATACTTAAGAATAATTTTTGACAACTCGTTATTGTTGCTTTTGAAGCTTTTGTCGCACGGTGGGGGCGTTTTCCATGCAATATTGTACCAAAACCTATGTATTGAGGCTTGATGAGATAAACTTCTTGATCTTGTTGAAGAAGACTTTAGTACGGTAAGGGGGCATTGAAGAAACGTTATTTGCGATGAAGATTACCCCATCTAAGAGCGGTTTTCAAAGCAATATTATTCGATCTAAGAGCGGTTTTCAAAGCCATATTATTCGAACGAATGTGGGATGACCACTCCACTACAGTCGTGCTTAGGATGTTAACATGAACGATCTTTCAAGACTACAATGAAGGTTGCCCGCATTCTGGAAGAAGTCGTGAAATACTTTGTGTCTGAATAGGATGTGAGAACACAACCAAGCTACAATCATGCCCGAGATGATAACGTGAACGACCTTTCAAAACTGCATTGAAGGTTGCCCCCACATTGAAGAATGTTTCAGAGGTGATCTTCAAGATGTAAAAATAGTTCCTTTGCTAGTTGGATGATGTACATCATTAGGAAATGAAGTAAGGGCTCGATATCTTAGAGTTAAAGATAATGTTAAACGGGACTTCGCTTCCCATTAACAACACCAAACTAATGCGTGCTAGAAAATTCAAGGCGGTAGAGTAATGTATTATCGTCTTAACATTGCATGAGTATTCAACATACACTCAGATAAAAGAAAACAAATAGTAATGACACCAGATGTTTTTACATGGAAAACTCGTAAAGGGAAAAAAAACTACGAGGCCTGACATAGTTATAAAAATCCAATACCCCTTGTCTCACATGCAGGAAATGGTTACAATATTTTTCAAATTACAACATCGATGTGCTAATGAATTTGTTATAAAAAGTGGGCAGCAGTCGATGACGATCGGTGGAGGCCAGCAAGTGGTAGTTGACGACGGTCAACGGTGGTCAACGACAGTCGGCGACGGTAGACGGTGACACGAGTGATTTTGGACTTCAGCGCATTCTCAAAGCTTCAAGTTCTTTCTCAAGTCTTAAGCTCTCCTCAAGTCTCAAGCTCCCTTCCCTCCTCATGAGAGGGGCACGACTCTATTTATAGTGTTCTGAGAGCAATTAATACAATAATATGAACCATTTTAATCAGACGATCCAGAGAGCTTCCTTTGATCAAACGATGTTTGATAGACATTTGAGTGTCTTAGGGTATTGAGCGATCTTTAGCTCGTTGGATTCGTCTACGACGCTCGATTCGACTATAACATTCATTTGACCTTCCAAATATGCTAAAAAAGCTTTCAAAAATGGTTTAATAGCTTGATTTGAGCTTGATTTGATTCTAATTGGATCAATTTTGGTATCATTGGATCCAACTCGTTAAGCTGGTCAGTTTCACTGTAAGTTTGTTGAAATCGAAGCTCTAGATGACTTTTTATTAATATTTCAATATTTTTTTTCAAAAGATTCTTGAAATTAGTGTCATGCCTTTAGATTTTAGATTCATATGGCATGATGAAAATCTGTTAATGGCGTATCAAATTTATAAGTTTTTATTTTTGATGATATAACTTTAATTTTCTACCTTGGCCATTGATACGGTTGCAACATTCCGAACCCTTGATGGGCTTGACCGCACCAACTCAGCCCTTATGTCCTCCAGCCGGCCGGATGTGAAGTTGGTCTGTGACTTGGCACAATCTCTCGTTTTTGTCCGCCCCCACTTCTTTTCGGCTTCCTGGCTAAGCCCTAATCCGATTTCGTCTCCTTCTTGTCGTCGTCGTCGATACTTCATGGGTTTCCGGCGCTTTCCGGCGATGGAGTTCGACGAGTATGACTACTTGGAGAAATCAGTCGACGTTCCCTGTGTCCGCAAACATACAGGTCTGCGTGACTCTCGGCACCGTTTCGAGGGCGAGAAGGATGCCGGTGACCGCAGAAGTCGCGAGCCGAAGAAGTTCAGGACGGACGAGAACGGAGGGGCGTTTGACCGATCTGACCGGCGGGAGAAGGATTACCGTAGGAGCGGCGACAAGGACCGCGAAAGGGACAGGGATCATCGGGAGAGGGATAGAGAGAAAGAGAAGGAGAAGGATAGACACCGGGAAAGGGAGAGGGAGATGGACAGGCATCGAGAAAGGGAGAAGGAGAAAGATAGATACCGGGAAAGGGAGACGGAAAGGAGCAGAGATAGGGAGAGTGAGAAAGAGATGGATTTGGACAGGGAGACGGAAAGATCAAGGAGGAGCCGCAGCAGCTCTAGGAAGCATGATATTGAGTACTTAAGAGAAAAGGAGAGGTCTAGGAGCAGGGAAATGAGGGAGCGAGATGAAAGGGACTCAAGGGAAAGCAGGTGTGATTATTATTATGACATAAGAATTTTTCCTTTTGGAATTTGTTTACTAGATGTGGTTTTTTATTTTTTAATTTCTATTGGTACGAACTAAGTTATTATTCATCTGCCTTCAAGGCGTTTATTTATTTACTTTTTCGAGATTCTTGTTTCTTTAGCCTTGATATCTTGCATTGTAACTTCAATTCTTCATTTCCAAACAGTTTGCATCTTGATTTACTGTATTATGAGACGCTTGGAAGAGAATTTGTTTGCTAAAAGGAGGGAGATGAAGTGTGGGCAACTACAGTTGAATTGTCACATGGGGTACTTATTTGATCTGTTCATTCTTGTACTTGTCATGGGAAAAATGATATTGACCTGAATAAGCTGAATTTTTAGTTTTATTAATTGAAGAGTTTGGGCATTAGGAGACCAAGTGTTATAATTAAATTTTATATGGCTGAATTTTCAATTGCTAGCAGGATAATTTTGGTTGATCCTGGAACATGTTACTAGAATCAAGTGGTTTATAGGGAACGTTTAGAACACGAGGAAAGAATTAATAGGATATAAGTTGAAACTGGTCTTTAGCCTATAGAGATGCCAGATTATTTGTTGGTGCCTTGTATTTTATATTTTTTGTCGTAGACCTTACTCTTGGAATCATTTTCTTAGGCACAAATCACAATGCTATTATGTAATGATGAATGGATACCAATGGAGACGTAATCCTTAAGCTCTTAAAACTTTTATTCATGTGAAATACTTGTAATTTAACTCATGTGAAATATAGTTGTAACTTAACTCAGATGAAATATAGTTGTAATTAATTGTGTAGCTTCTTGAATTGCATATGTTTTTTGATGGAACTTTTTGTAGAATTTCAAATGAATAGTTACTAAAAGGAAAAATAATAATGCAATCTATTTATGTGTCTTTAAGCACAAAAAGTATTATAAGTCTTTGTGGAGAATGGAAGCTTGAATTTGCATGAAAAATTTATGCTTATAAAACATGGAGAAATTATGCCTGAGAATTAGTAGGCTCAATTGTGGATTGAGCTTTTTCAGAGCCCTTAGGCCATGCTTTGGGATGATTGGACCCATGTGGGCTGGCTAAACCATGAGTTCTAGTCATGGTCGGGCTAGGTGGGTTGAATATTTAAACCTGCCCTCCTTTTTGAAGGTGGTGTCACTGATGGTTAATAATGCTCCAAATAGAAACTACTGACAACTTTGAGATTTGGATGGCTATTTAGGCCCCTTGACGACCACTTATCCTCACGCAACGCCAAACTTTACTTTTTATGTTGACCTCCTTTAAGCATAAATTGGAGATGGTCCTTGCCCTCCACGCTTGAGTAGGGTTTTGGAGTGTTTTGGTGGAAGACAGAGAGAGTTAAAGGGTTTTTTTAGATCTAGTGTAAGGGTTTGGAAGTTGGAGGAAGAATAAGAGGGGATAGAGAATCCTTAGAATGTTTTGGGGAAAAAAGCATAGATCGAGAAGGTCTAACTAGTTCAAATCCGACCTCTATTTTGAAAGATTTGACTTTGATTATTAGTTCTTGGTAGGAATTTTTGTTTGTCTATTTTATATATTTGCATTCATCTTTAATTCATTTTTTTAGTTTAAATACGATGCTTATGATGCCCAATTGATTTTTATTATTCCATTATTTGTTCAAGAGGATTTTCATGATATTCTAAAATAATTTTTAGATAAACACGCATATTGGAATAATATTATGAATTATGCATAAATGACACTTTTATCAAGGAAGTTTTCATTTATATCTGGGCCTTATGCTAAATAATAATGAATCTTATTATGAGGCTACTGAATGCCTTTTATGCATGTTTGTACTTATATTCATTGCTTTGGGGACATTTTTCTTTCTTATAAAAAATTACTTTGTCAAGGGTCTTTACAGCTAAAGCTTGCTAAACAAGTGTTGTTTTGGGGACTGTACAATTCATTTTCAATGTGAAAAATCGTGTTAGGGTCAGGCATTTTTCATAACTTTTCTTTACATATGGTTGACACCCCACAAATTTTGTTGCAATTTTTTTGAAATTTTTGTGGTGAGAAACATTATTTTACAAAATGTTTTGTTTGATTTTTATAGTTATAGTAAAATTTTTGCAAATGGAAAATTATTGTAATATCCTCAACAACTTAAAAATATATATATGTTTTTCACACAGTTCTACAAATAATTTTACAATTAACTATTGCTGCTCCAAGGGGACCTTTAGTGATATGTGGCTTGATTATTTGACAAGACTAAGTCGAACTCTACTATAAACCTGTTTTGAAATTTTTGATAAGTTTTCCACAATATTATTGATGCATGTATAAAAGTTCCAATAACTTGATGCACTTGTAATAATAGATAGATCTTCCAAAGGAAGTTTTTGTTAATGATTTTTTATTTCGTTGTGTAAAAAAGGTTATTAAAAGGATGCATGTATAAAAGTTTTTGTTGTATAAAAGTTCCAATAATAACTTTGGGTGATCAAATTATTAAAAGGTGTGAACGTTTTAGATATCTTGGGTCTGTTTTTCAAAGCGATGGTGATATAGATGGGGATGTTAATAGTAGAATTCAAGTTGGTTGGTTGAAGTGGAGGAATGCATCGGGCCTTTTGTGTGATAGAAAAGCACCGCTTAGACTGAAAGAAAAATTTTATAAGACGGTGGTGATACCTGCAATGCTCTATGGCGCTGAATGTTGGCCTTTAAAAGAGAATCTCCTACTTAAAATTACAAGTCTAAATTAAAAATGACATTATAAAGATTACATATTCATATCAAGTTTGTGTTGGATGCCTCACATATCATCTTAAGAATGATAAGATGATAAAAAGGGTTAACATAAAAGAAGGTTTTTTCTTGAAATGGGTTATTAACATGATATCATGAAAATATTTACGCATTTGGAACATAACTCTATATCCAGATTATACCATAAATTTAATTAGGGTTTCATGAGATAATAACATACAATGGATATATATTATTAATATTTCATACATTCTAAATTAGTGCGATACTACATATGGTACTCATATGATACCCTAATTTTTTTTATATATCTATATCATAAATTATCATTTGCCTATTGATCATGTTAGATACATAATTCAAGTGATAAAATATGACATGAATCAAATCAGGTTTCAAGAAAATATTGACATGCTATAAACACTTAACTTAAAACCTCATGTTAGACTATAACTAATTCAATATAAAGAATTATGTCAATCATCAAGAATAAGTTCATGATGATCTGATTAGGAGAGTAGATGTTTTAGATTTGACTTATGTTAAGAAAGGTAGAAGAAGACCCAGGAAGACTTGCACTTATTGTATAAAAAATGATCTTAATTTACTAGAACTAAATGAAAATATGACACTAAATAGGACGCAATGGAAAAAAAGGATTCATGTAGCCAACCCCACGTACTGGGATTAAGGCTTTGTTGTTGTTGTTGTTTTTGTGTAACCTATGTTTATACTAATATTTTGTAGGACCCATTGAATGAAAGAAAAATTCGTACGTACTATTGTCATAAACCTGTTAATAATTGTTTCTTATCCTAACCTGGTTGCAACTACTAAGATATAATGAACTCTATTTCCTGTATTGTTATATAAAGTATGCTGGTGCTTTCAGTCCAAAATTTAATAAGCAAAACTTAAAAATGTCAATACATCCTAAATTATGTGAAAAAAGATTCCGGGCTGAAGAGATTCAACGATCTCTTGTTACCATTGGGCTTTGATGATACTAATACAAGCTTTTGTAGGATGAAATGAGGGAGGGGGGGGGGGGGGGTGGGGGATTGAGGTTTTCTAAGGTAGCTTATTTAGGATGACATCATGACATATGATAGGTGGAGGCAGGGAGGCTTATAAGGATAATTGTGTAACTCTAGGTTGACTGAATTTGAGGGAGGAACGTTGCTGCAGTGGGGTTCAAATCAAAGTTTTAAGGTGGCTGATAGCTACTGCTTTGCACATGCTAGATAGTTTTTTGATTTTCCTACAATTAGTCCGACCTCATAAATCCATTTTGTTGTCTTGATATGTTCGTACAACTGGGTGGAGATAACATTGTTCACAACCTATAGAGTTTTCTAATCTCGAGGCACTCAAAGGTCTTGAATATAACTAATTCAATAGTGTCATGATGTCATCCACAAGCATTTTCTTTTTTTTGTAAACGTATGTTGGTGGTAATTATGAAAAGTTACATCTTCACCGTTTACAAAATAATTTTATGTTACTGGAGGTTTAGTATCCTCTTGAAGCTGAATTTTAACATCCAGATGAAATCAAAACTTGATCTTAGCAGCAAAATAAGGTATTTGTTAAGACTGATTTGACTGTAATTACTAAAAAAAATTGGTTTTTGTATCACATTTTTGTTTTTGAAGTACATCTCACCACTCCTAAAAGATAAGGTGTTTGCTCTCTAAATATAATGTCATATGCTTTTATTTAGTTTTGTTTGTTTGTGCCATCTGCTAAGACTACTTTGATTTGTATAGTGTGTGGCCATGTAATTGTCAATGCTAATAAGCTTTTCATTTTTAATCATTTTTATTTTTATGGTTGTAGATAATGGTAAATTGTTTTGACCTTTCATTCAGCTGCCCTATATTTGAAAACTTGATGAAAGAAAGAGGCAGACACTACTATTTGTTTGAATCGAACTTTTCTTCAACTTTGTTAATATTGACTTGTTTAAAATTGACTTCATTTTTCTCACCTCCATGTTTCTTCATGTAACATGAAGCCTTTCCATTTTCATGCAGGCGGTTTAGAGAGAAAAAAGAACCGTTAGAAGCTGAAGCTGATCCTGAAAGGGATCAGAGGACAGTTTTTGCCTATCAGGTATGCTAGGAGTGTTTGTTCTATCCTTGGAATCTGCACAAACATCATCATTTGTTTGATTTATTTGCTACACATGTTTTTTCCTGCTCTGGTGCTGTGTAGATGCCTTTGAAGGCTACTGAGAGAGATGTTTATGAGTTCTTCTCAAAAGTGGGCAAGGTCAGTCAAATATATTTCTTGTTCTTTGTTGTGGATATGGGATCTTGTGACTGCTTATCCTTCTCAATTTATTAGGTTCTACATGTTTTGATAGCATGCACCGAACTGATAAAAAGTGCTCTGATATTTACATAATTCATGCAATGTCAGGTATTCTATTTTATATAGTTGTAAAATACAAATACCCCTATCGTCCTTTGAGAGTTTTCATGAACTAATTTTGTGCTTAAGAATTGAAACTTTAGTAAGAAATCTACCGCCAGGTATATTTGATGCCTTCCATTGAGATACATTTGCTTCTTATTGCAGTAAATGCTTCCCTGCTTCAGTGAGGTCTATTATAATGACTTTTTTGTGGCTCAACATACTATTTATTTGGTGAGTGTTATGTAAATGGAAAAGTTGATTGGGGCCTTATCAACTTTACTACATAAGAGGTGTAATTTGTAGTATAAGAATGCCAATGAATTGTTCAAACTTCGAAGTATTCATGCATTTTGACTTGTTGGAGTTAGTTTATGATGATTTTTGTTTACCAGGTCAGAGATGTGCGGTTGATCATGGATCGGAACTCAAGGAGATCAAAAGGCGTTGGGTATGTTTATCCTATGCCATGTGCTTTAAAAGATGCTATAAATGTTGGTTTTTATGAAATGCTTTTTCGTTTTATTCCTTTGTGGGATCAATTATGCGTAAGTAATTTTTAGATGCATTTTAAACTAAGGCTAAAGGCTGCAAAAAATAACTAGTTTCTTAGTGCCTGTTTTTTGCCTGTAACATTGTGCTTCCTAAAGCCCCCACAACAAAGTATTTTTTTATTGTTTGTTTTTCTCATGAATCATATTTTTATTCAGAGTGTTTGGAAATGCAATTCATTGCCAAATGAGGCTTAAATTTGTGTTAAGTACCTCATGGCTTAATATGGATAAGAAAGATCAAGAGCAATCCTCAAATCTTTTTTTGGCTTTCACTTTTGTCGAATTCAATGAACTAAACGACCATAAAGATAGGGTTCTACCTTTTCGAGACAAGAATCAGACTCTTCTCAACCGGGGAATTTGTTGGAGTCTACTATAGTGAGTTAAAGTATGCAAATGAATAACCTAGCTTTGTTTGTTTGGATAGACTTTAACCATTTTTCAGAGCTGACTCTTTTCGTTCGTTTCCCCTTTCTGCTTCTCTCTACTTATTTCTATTGTTTTGTCAAGTGATGTTGGAAGGGGAAATAAAAGAGACACCGACAATTATAACTTTTAAGAGAAAGAGTCTGCTTTCTTGATTACTCTTATTTATCATTGTTTGACTTCTTATAAAAGGTATGTTGCATTAAGTAATTGATTAGTTAGCATAAATGTATATTTCTTTTTTAATTGTATATTTGACTTGTAGCATATACTCTATTGCTGTGGAGACGTTATTCCATTGGAGGTGGCATCTTGTTAGGTTGAGAATGTGTTGGAACAAATGAAAACTGCTCAATGGAAGCCTTATACCATCTTTTTTGGTAAGATATTATAGTGAGGGAAATTTTAAGTTCTCATCGTAACAAATTTGAACCAAATCTATGCTTCTTCTTGAATCAGTTAATTTTAACACATACAATTTCGTATTGTGCGGAGAGTCATGATTGCTCCCATTTTGGCTAGAAAGGTCTAGATTTGATTTAAGTATTAGGTCTTTACTTTATCAAGTAGCAATAATTTGATGTTCTTTTTCTTTGACATCAACCTTTCTTTTTATAGTTTTAAATGTGTTGATTTTTCAGCTTGGATAATTTTCATTAAATCTAACACATTAAATAAGATAATGGGTGACATCTATTAGACGCCATTGAAACCACAAATGTTCAAATGGCCACTACTCTACTTGATCATAGAATGTAATCCATTATAGGTTGAAAATCTTTAGAGCCTTAATACATAGTGCATTGTGTGGCCATGACATTTATAAATAAAGCTAATTTAATATTTCAAAAATGTGAGTGAAAAAGGTATCCTTAAAGCTAAAATAATTAGGGCAACATCGCATCAGATTACTCTTAACATATATGAATGAAAGATAATCGGTTTGGAAAATCAACATCATGGCTAAGAAAACTATTAGATTGGAAAAGAAAACTATCTTGATTGTAGTAATGCATTGATTTTGGATTAAATTTAGATCTAGGTCAAGTGGATTCCAATTAGATCAGTTACGATCATGATTGGGGCATTACATTGTGAAATATTAAAACGATCATGTTGGTTGAAGTTTCACTAGCTTGTTTGCTTCATGAAAATTAACATTGATGGTGATTCTCAAATAACGGATGTCACCAGGAGTCTATTAATGTAATTGGAGCATTTATTAAACATCATACAGGAGAGACCAAGGCTCTGGAAGCCGAACTGTTTGGACTGTTCTATAAATTTCAGATTACAACAGGATAAGATGAAGTAGGTCCCTTGTCTCTACTTGCTATGTTGTCGTTGGCTGTTTTCTCCCCATTGTTTGCTGTATCTGTTACTTGTTTGCTAATTTGATTGCTGCTGATGGAGTACATAATCGAAATTGTTGAAATTTGTTCTTTAATAATCAGAAAACCGGGGAATTTCAAGTGGAAATTAAACACAAATCCACTTTGGATAGTTTAGATCGATAGGAAGAAAAAAAGTTCAATAAGTTGTTTATTGTCTTTGTGAATCACAACACCAATCTAGTTTAAAGGTTACTGTTCCAGCCATTCTGAAGGAAAACCAGTAACTTAACTTCTGCCATGGGTGGGACAAGACAAAAACAGACGAAAGAATCTTCTCATAGCAAAACAGGTAAAATCTTAAAGAGGCTGATTTATAGGAGGAAACACGTTGCGAGGTTTTTGTATTTGGGAAGTTATAGAAAATTGCTAAAACCCTCCAAATTAGTTTTGTCTATGCTTCATGCATAATATTAGGATAAAATGCTGAATCTTAGAGCTTAGGTTCAAAATATAATAACACTTTATTTTTAAGTTTTATATTCATCAAACCTTAAAAGGTTTTTATGAGAATCATCATCTTTGTTGTAAAATAAAATAGCCTTCCTTCTTCATAATTATCATCTTCAAATCGTAATTTTCTTCATCCCTACTATCATTTTCAAGACATTTTGAAATATGCTAGGTCTAGATGAAGAATCGTTTCATTTTCTCCAAATAAATCCTAAATGCTGTAAATTCTTTCATACACAATACTAGTTTTTACAATGTTACTAGTAAAAAAAATAGTTAAAAAGAAAACAACTCAAGAAACTAAACGCACAAAATAGCACCCATCATGCATGCATGAGCGTCCGCATATACCTTTATATGAACGGTCCTGGGCATAGTTGCTAACACTAGTGCCTGTGACTTTCAATGTCCTTTCATCATGCATCTATCTGGCAATAGCTTCGTGATAAAATTTTTTGTTGGTTTTTGTTATACTTAAACTAAAATTCAAACCGAGAAATTAATTTTGTAGGTTTGGCCTTTTGATAATGCATGAAATAAAAATTGGTTAGCTGGATACATTGGATAACCAGTTGTTTGGGTGCATGTATTCACCCTTACCAGATGCCTGCGTGTAACCTCAGAAACAGGTAGCTTAATGCATTATGCATATGCCAGCATCAAATTTAACTAGAAACACCTAAAAAGATGGAATTGTCAACTTTTTGTTGGATTCCCATTTTCTCCATTGGACGTGATTAGACAAAAGGAGCAGAATTAAAAATCAGAAATCTTTGTTTTATCTGTCACTCAGATAGAGACAGGATTTGAAATAAGTTGTAACTTGAGAGCTAAAAATGTCCCAAAGCATAATAAGAATAGCGACATCCATTACAGTACCATCCACCAAGCTGTGTCTTATCCAATTGCTTGCACTGTCCCTGTTGCTTCATGTTCACGTTTTTTGTTTTCTACTCTTTTAATATCATAAAAGGATTAAATATGCAGTGCTTTCAACTAAATTTTTTACTGGCATCTGTTTTAGCTTGTAGAAAGTGAGTTTAGCTAAATCACAAAGATGAAATCAAGTAATATATAGGGGAATATTTTTCCTAGTTATTCAAAAGCAACTTGCCAGGAATTTCATGTTCATAGCATATGAATTTCCATCCATGTAGGTTGATCATACGACCATAGATAAATCACTTTGTGTGAATGTTGAAATCTTGCCTGGATTCAGATGTTAATGCATGACAACTTTTTTGAAAAATTTCATTTGCATACTCTCAACATCCTTAATATTATACTTGCAACATTTTGAATAAGATAAAATAAAATGTGATTATTGACCATTATGGTATGCTCTTCTAGTGCTGTAAGAATTTGTGACATGAACTTAGTAAAACTAATTTAATGCGATTTATCCGATGTTAAGCATGGGTATCAATTGTGCAGGGTTTTTCCACTTAAATGTAATGAAGTGTTTATTTGTAAAGGGTATGCTTGAATGTTGGTTCTCATTTGTCATTACCGCTTGATATTCTCTTATAACTATTTTCAAGATTTTATTCTTTCGTTATCCAGTTCCTTGTGCTGAGCTTTTCATACATCAGCTATAGCTTTAGTTCTTTGTTATTTGATTACTTTTTTCAGTTATACTATTTCAATCTTCTTTGGCAGGGATAATAAATTTTGATTATGTTTTTAGTGTTCTTATGTTTTTGTCATGGGCAATATTTTTGACAGATACATTGAGTTTTATGATGCAATGTCCGTGCCAATGGCAATCGCCCTTTCCGGTCACCAACTTTTAGGCCAGCCTGTGATGGTCAAACCATCTGAAGCAGAGAAGAATCTTGTGCAGTCAAATACTAGCGGAGCACTTGGTGCAGCTGGTGCCCGAAAAATTTATGTTGGCAACTTGCACTTCAATATTACTGAAGACTTACTTCGTCAGGTAGATAATACTATAGTTTTAGTTGCTGTGGCAGTTTGTTGACGCCTGGATTTTAAGAAAATAATTTGGTTGTTTTGATTATTTCAGAATGTTTTAAATATGTTAATATTTGATATATTTTGACTTTTTTTTTTTTATATATATGCTTACTAGGACTCGTATTTAGGTTTCCTTTGGTGTTCTGTGGTGTGTTACCGATAAATGCTGTGATCAGGCTACTTTTGGGACAAGAACCTTTTTTCTATGTTTCAGACATTATTAATATTTTTAATTTTTTTATTTTGAAAAGAAATACAAGTATCACATTATCAATTCATCCTTGATAGTTTTTCAAAAGGTTCGTTTTGTCTGCTTGATGATAACGCTAAATTGCAAGTAACTTTTTATGCAGTTTTGAGGGACATTCTTCTTGGGCTGACATCTAGCTTAATATTTTTGATGATGACATAACAGTATAATTTCGTGTGATCCTTTGGATAGTTTAGATATGCTGGGTTATTCTCCTTTTGATGGCCTAGATCAATGGTAAGGTTAGCTTTCATGTTGTCTGGAGATACTTGTTCTAATCACAAAAAACCTCCTCTTCAAATGCAAAAGCAAGGATGCGTGCAACTGCTACTAGATCAGGTGTTCTAAGCATCACACACTTTATTTTATGTTCAATTTTTTTTGGATATTAGTGGGTAATGTTTATTCTATTACAAGAACTTGTGATATTGCCATTAAGATGCTTCTTGTTGCAAGACTATCGGGGATTCTAGGGTTTCTTTAAGGAACCTAATGCTTTGAAATAACATTTAGTGTGAATATATATATATATATATTATGAAATTAACAATGTAAAAGTAACCAATCCAATGAGAGCAAATGCATCATAATAAACATGCAAAAATTCAATTAAAAAAAAATTATAATTGAATCAATTATTTAGCTTGTTATTTTTCCGTAGGGAACAATAACATTTAATTTCAGTAGAGATCTAGCATGGAAAGAATTTAGGAGAATCAGGTCAAACAAGTTATTATTATCCCAATGGATAGCAAAATTAAATTAAAGCAACTTCTGCTATAGCAAAATTTTAAACAAGAATCTCAAGAAAAAAGAGAGATAAAACAAAAGAAGAGCCAAATAGTATAATGAAGCCTTGTGCTTGCAGTTCAAACATTCCACCATGAGTTTTGTAATTAAGATACTTAAAAAAAATGCTCAACTACCAAACTGTTAAAAAAGTTAAGTATGTTTTATTTATAAAGTGTGAAAAACTGTTATTATCAATTTCAAGCCTAGATAATAAAGGTTCATAGGTAATGGTCGGTTGAATTCGAATTGTAGAATTATAAAAGAGGGCTTGAAGCGAATTCAAATTTGAATTTTGTTGCAAAGCATTCTCTGAAAGTGATGTGCCATGATCTTATTTGATTATTTTGAAAAGCAAGCAATTGTTTTCTTATGTCTCCCATGAGTGAAACAACAATACTTCACTCTCTTATGATGAATGTTGGTAACGATTGAAGAAAAGATCAACTCTTAGCTTTGTCCCATTATTTAACTTATTTCCCGTGGAAAGTAGTAAGGTTTGACATTTTCTAAAATTAAAAATTAAGTTTTTACAAGGAATTTGGGAATTTTAAATAGAAGAAAGTTAATTGTTGGAGAAAATGATTAAAAGAAGAATTACTCTTTTATGCAACAAATGGAATGTAAATGGGAGAATCCATGACATTAGGGATGGTTATATCTCTATTTTGTTGTTAGGGCTAATGGTAGGAATAACATAAGGATAATAGAGATAGAGAGCATGTATGACAACGTTGAAGTGGATATGATAAAGCTAATAATAATGTGATTGGTATTAAGCTATAGGCAATGAAACTTGTAAATTTAGTTAATTTTTGTGTTTCTTAAGTTGCATTTAAAGATGGTTTTAAAATCAATTTTGATAAGAGGTGGATGAATTTTTAAAGTGTATATTTTAAGCTTGATGAAGTATGAAGAATTAGTGGTGTTGTGTTTTAGTTACAAGAGCATTTTGTTACATTTAAAGAGGTGTAATGTGGTTACCAAACCATAAATAGCTTTTTTTGCATGAATCTTGGATAAAGTTTGATCGCATCACTCATGTTATTAAAAAAAAATGGAAATGATTAAAATAAAGAAATTTAAGGTGTGTGGATTAAAGGGCATGTAAATTGGGCTTATTAAACTAGCGATTATACTTGTTTTTAACTCAAAAGCTTAATTATAGGACCAATCACTAGATATATCTACACTAACATGTTTTTCAAGTATGTGATGTTTAAACTTAATATTCACATGTCTTCCCTCATTTAAGAGCTTTCCATTTTGGCCATTATCTCCCCTTTAAATAACATCTTATTCAACGCCATCTATTATTATGCAAAAAGAGCCTACTCAACCAAATATTGCTGATGTAATCAATGTTTATTGAACCTTTGTCAAACCATTGTAGGAGATGCCAAGGCTTATGAGAGCCGAAAATGACCTGGAATCACTGTTTTCTCGCTCAATTATTTTTATCATTGATACCAACTTTTATGCCAAATGAGTGGAATTTTTTTTATTCAATCCAAAGGCTTAGGAGTTGGGCAAACCAATAGTTATTTATACTCTAATTATTTTTTGAAGCAATTCGACGTAGGGAAAAACCCAATGCTCTTACATGATTTAGTAAATTATTGCTTTATTATAAGATGATAAATTTTGAAAGATAAGAGGCTAATATTTTAATGGATAGAAATAGTTTTTTTATTGATCTCAAGAAGCTTTATGATGGAGAACCATTAGAATTGAGTTGGCGTGCATTAGAGAAGAAAGTGTTTCCTAGATGAATGATTCAAGAGCATTTGGGTTGGACGCTGAATTGGGTTTTGGACTGCTGTGGGATGGCGTCCTGCATAGGGACCAGGCCAATGATGGATCGGTTTAGGTTGATTTACCCTTGGGGTGGATTGAGCCGGCTCTAAGGGTCATTCCTTGTTTGGTTTAATTAGATATAGGGTTGTTTTATGATTCTATTATATAATTGTTTGCTTTGGACTATTTGGACAGCTTGTTCTTGTTATTTTGTGCTATTTAAAAAATCTCTCAGATTTCTAATTTTAAGGGTGCTATATCCATTATGTTCTTAACTGGTGTGCTTGTAACTTGATTGGGAAACATGCACTTGATCCTCCTTGGAGTTTGTAGCTTGCTGAAACTGTCACTGGACGACATTTTCTTGATATTTTCACCCAGGACAGCTGCCGTCTCGACATTTTCTTGCTTTTTTTCTCCCATTGGGACATCGACGGCCTTAGCTCGCCAATCGAGTGCCGGCTTCACTTCTCTGCTGTTTTGTTCCACAAAACAGCAAATATCACATTACTTCTTTACCTCTTCACTATAATCCCACAACTTTCCTTAACCCCTTCCTTCATCTTTACACACCATCTAAGAATCCTAGACCGGTGTCAATGAATTTTGAAGCAATTAGCACCACACATGATTGAATATTGACAAGTATTAATAGGTTTTTAATTAAGATTTAAGAGTTCGTCTTCTTATATCAATTATAGAGACTTACAAATGATTTATTAGATAGGTTTTTTGGTGTATGTTTTTTTGTAGATGGCATATTCTAATTGGTGAGAGCTTTGTTGAAAAAAGTTACTATTAGAACAATGTAAACATTATGTAGAAGATATAGAGCTTAGTATTTGTAGAACATAGACAAGTATGTGATATGAAACTTGGGTAGGTGTACCAATTATTCACCTATATTATTAGAAGATTTGTGATATTTCAGCATGATGGTTTATTTATCTTTGTTTTGTTATATATAAAAATGAAGATACAAAAGAAATGCTACTTCATGAGATAAAAAAATTATATTTAAAATGAAGAAGTTCCTTGTCAGCAATGTGCAACCAGAGAGTATTGGGGAAACTTAAAATAGACAAATTTTATAAAATTGTAATTAGGCCAATTACGCTGTATGAATCAAAATGTTGGACAATGAAGAAGGCATCCATGTAAGTGATTTGATTGTGGAAGAAAGGACTGTGTTAAGTTTGGTATGTGTCTAAAGTAGGAATGATACAAGCCATTAATTATATTTTTTTGACTGTAACTTAACATTATTACAAAATTAAATTATTTTCTTAATGAAAAAAGGAAATGGTAAGGTATAAACTCTATGCTTGACCAACTGAAAGAAATATCAAATTGACGTAGGATGTGCTTGTACCTTGACATTGGCTGTTGAATTTGAAAGTCACATCACTTTTCCCAACAACTACTGCTCCAGCTTGCTACACAACTGATATAAGTTGATTGTGGAAGAAAGGATAGTGTAAAGATAGGTTTGTCTAATGTAGGAATGATATATGAAGAAATGATTATGTTAAAGGGCTGGTGGGGGTAACATGCCAATAATGTGGTCGCGAAAAAAAATGCACAAATTTCTTTTGTACTTTCTGTTGTTTGGAGACAAGTTATGTTGAAGGTAACATTCTTTAGATTCTATAGGGTGCAATATCAGAGGTCGACAGTTAGGATCATTTATGTTTGTGAATGCATCTTATTTTTTCGACTATAAGTTAACATTAATACAAAATAATTTTTTTTTAATGCAAAGAGGGAATGGTACTGTATAAACTTCATGCTTAACCAACTCAAAAGGAATAACAAAATTGACATAGGATGTGCTTATACCTTGACCATGGCTGTTTACTTTGAAAGTCACATTACTCCTCCCGACAACTGCTCTAGCTTGCTACACAATCTCTTTCATATTTATTGCATTTGTTTTTTTTTTTTCACATTAATTTTTCAGATTGGCATTAGTTAAAACTCCTATTTTTTTGCCATGTTTTGATGGTTTTTTAATCATTCTCATTTATGTAGCTTGCGCGGCTTGGAGTTATGTATGCTTAATCAATTATTATGCAAACTTTATTAATTCCATTGTAGGCCTAGTACATTGTATGTCTGCATGTTTTGCCTTATAATTTCAATATAAATATATGACATTATGATTATGTTTCATTTGTAATGTAGATTGATGCAACAACAACAATAGCGACAAGAGGCCTTTAAACCACTAAGTGGGGTCGGCTACATGAATCCTTTTTCTCCATTGTTTCCTATTGAGTGTCATATTTTCATTTAATTCTAATAAATTAACATCATTTCTTTTTACCATATGCCCAAGTTTTTTTAGTCTACCTCTACCTTTCTTAGCATAAGTTGAATTTAAAACATCTACTCTCCTAATCTCCTAACCAAATCATTAGATGGTCCATTTTTGATATGACCAAACTATCTAAAACGACTCTCTCTAATCTTGTTTGCCTTTGGAGCTACACCATCCCTTTCATGGATACATTCGTTTTGCATTTTGTCTCTAAGTGTCAAACCACTCATCCACTATGCATTCTCATCCCAGTGTTTATGTTTCTCTTTTAAAGGCCAACATTTTGTGCCGTAAAGCATTACAGGTCTCACTAACATTTAAAATTTTTTTTTTCTTAAGCCTAGGTGGTTCTTTTCTGTCGCACAATAGGCCCGATGCATTCCCCCACATCAGCCAAACAACTTGAATGCTACTAATAAGATCCTCATCTATGTCACCAACACTTCGAAGAATAAACTCGAGATATCTAAATCGTTCACACGGTTTAATAATTTGATCACCCATGGTTACAACTCTGCTACTAGCTTTAATGCTACTAAAATTACATTTCATATATTCAACTTTAGATCTACTCAAATTAAGGCATTTAGATTGTAATGTAAACCTCTGTAATTCAAGTTTTTTCTGAATTATTTTTCTATTCTTATCATCAAGAAGGATATCATCATTGAAAAACATACATCAATGTACATGCTCCTATAAATGTCTAGCAAGAGCTTTAATAACTAAAGCAAAATGATATGGGCTTAAAGCGAGCCCTGATGTAATCCAATTGAAATAGGAAAATACTTGGTCAATCCTCCTTCTGGTTGAACACAAGTACTTTGTATACATATCTTTAATGACTTGAATATATGTCATATCAACATCTTTCTTTTCTAGAACTCTGCAATTAACTTAGTTTGGAAACTTATCGTAAGTTTTTTCTTAAGTCAATAAAAATCATATGTATATCCTTCTTATTCTCTCTGTACTTCTCCATCAAATCTCTCAATAAATGTATAACTTCTATAATAGACTTGCCGGACATAAATCCAAACTTATTATGAGAAATTTTTGTATCACGTTTTAAGCTATGTTCAATTATTCTCCCATAATTTTAATGTACGACTCATTTACTTAATTCCTTTATAATTTGCACACTTTTGTGCATCCCTTTATTCTTAAAAATGGGGACTAATATACTTTTCGTCCACTCCTCAGATTTCTCCACTCCTTAGACATCTTTTTAGTTTTTTAAAATAATATTAAAGAGTTTAGTAAGCTAAGAAACTCCCAATTCTTCTAAATATTTTCATATTTCAATTGAGATATCATCAGGTCCTACTAATTTTTCACTATTAGTTTTCTTTAAAGCCTCATCAACTTTTTACTAGTGCGATGGTAAATATAAAAAGTTTATTATTATTAACGATATTAAAATCATTAAGGTAGATTATTTTTTAGAAATTTCATTGAAAAGTTTATCAAATATCTTACCCACATATGTTGAATATCTTCTTCTAAGAAAAATATTTTTTTTGATTTCATTTTTTATATACTTTGTATGAATTACTTCTTTAGTTTTCTTTTTTCTTTCCTTGACTAGTTTATACATATATATTTCACTCTCTTTAATATCTAATCTATTATAATGTTCGCTGAAAACATAAGTTTTAGCGTCATAAATTATTCTCATTGACTCATTACAGGTCACCTTATATTTTTCCCATTCTCTATGCTTGTACATTTAAATCAATTTTTATAACAAAACTAAATCAATTTATATAACAAAACTTCTTATATTTTATCTTTTCTTGCACATTATTTTTCCACTATAAACTATTTTTATTTATAGAACTTTTTCTGTTTAATTCTCCAAGTAGATCTTTTGTTGTTTGTTTAATAATGCATGTTACTTTATCCCATATAGAATTAGCTTCTACACGAACATCCTAAATTTTCAAATCTTGAAGTTTACTCATAAAAATAATTTTATTTGAGTCGTTTAGGTGCCCCCATCTAATTCAATGACAATGTTTCATTATAATTTTTATCTTCCAACTTCTTGTTTTAAAATCTAGAATTAATAATTAATATTGAGTACTTAAATTTTTACTTGGAATGACCTTACAATCTTTACATTCTCAACAATTTTATTTTCTGATTAATGGATTTTATAAATCATCATTTTCAGTTTTACTGTAAATATAAGACTGCATTAGAATGTCTATAAGATTTTCTTGTGCTTACATTATCTGACCATGCCTAGTCGATTTTACTCCTTCCTTAAAATACTGTTAAAAGACAGCGTGAGCTGAGCTGTTTTTTCTTCTTTCAAATTTAATGTATTAATATTTTACTCTCATCTGTCTCTTCTCTCTGGAAGTGCTCATGAATTGGCAACGTTGTCTTAAATTTCAGGTTTATTATGTCATGAACTATTTTGATAATTTTTTTATTTTTTCCCACCAGCTTGAATCAATAATATGTGATTTCAATGATGTTGAATTTTGAAGCAGCCTAGGGGTGGTTTCATTGAAAATCGTGTTTTGTTATCCTCACAAAGTGGGGTAAACTTTTTTTTATTTTTATTTATTTATTTATTTTTTTGGGGTATAGAATCAAATCTGAAGGAATGAAATAATGGAGTTTCACATGATTGAATCTGATGTGTTTTTTTACGCTAGTGAACCAACAAATACATGTATTTGTCTTTTGCGTCTTGCCCAGGTTGAAGCCTCTTCAATGCTTGCTTAGGGGTTGCATCTTTTCTTTTCTTTTGTTGTAAATTTGACTTTCTAATCCGTCCGAACTCATTTTAACAGTCATTTTTCTATTAGTTATGCATGATATGACAAAAAATCAGTATTTACCTGAAAATTTTCAAATTATTATTTTTTATTATTTTTTGTTCTGGCCATCCTTGTTGCTGTTCTTGTCATTTTTTACGGTGAATTTTTTATCTCTACCTCTAATTTTCTGATTTCTATGTCTCAATAGCTAATTATTTTTTTGAAGTTTATCGTCATAATGCAAATTGTGGTAGTTAGCTCCCATGTCTACTAAATATATACACCTTTTTCAGGTTTTTGAGCCTTTTGGTCATGTAGAACTTGTCCAATTACCACTGGATCCTGAAACTGGGCATTGCAGAGGATATGGATTTATTCAAGTGAGCATGGATCCTCAATCATATCCAATATTTATTGTCTTAAGATTTTGCTATTATCTATTTATTAGTTTTCTGAATGTTCTCTTCAGTTCTCCCAAGTTGAATATGCTAAGGCAGCACAAAGTTTGAATGGGAAATTAGACATAGCTGGCCGGATAATCAAGGTTGTATCCACTGTATTGTAGAATATGAATTATATTTATTTTTTCTATATTTATAATTAATTCTTTTGAATTAACACTTACCATCTGTATCAGGTTTCAGCTGTAACTGAAAATGTCGTTTCACAAGAATCAGGAACAAATGCTACTGACTTTGATGATGATGATGGAGGCGGTTTGGTAAGTCCAAATTCCATTATATGATATGCAGTTTCATTTTCATTTGTGCTAGACCTTTATTCATCTTGTTCTGTTAGAAAATTCTTGTTCATTGCATTAGATGTTGGCTTGTTTTAAAAATATTGGGGAGAAGATTGCCGGTAAAGTAGATCCGGATAGCAATACTTAAATTCCCATCAACTGCACCTTTTCACTTACCCTAACGATGTTGTTAAGCAACTGTTTATATCTGAATGAAACTATCCAGAAAAGTAGCGACACACACACACACACACCCCAATACACAGGTCATCAATTTTAGCTGTTTCCCTTCTTGTTTTGGTGGGTTCAGATCTGTTATTAAAAATAAACTTGATTGTTTCTTTAACCAGTTTGGTTCTATAATGTAAATCAACTGTTCAAAGTTTGTAAGTTTTATTTTTAGAACTTATTACCCCCTTACACCTCAGGAATTTTTTGCTTTTTGGTTTGGCAGTCTATGAATGCACGTTCAAGGGCAATTTTGATGCAGAAACTGGATCGAACTGGAACTGCCTCAAGGTGAGCTTACTCCACTCAGATCTCTCCCTGTTGGAAGTTGTTCTGTTGCTGATGAATTCTCATTATTCTGTAGTATTGTGGAGTCTCTGGGCGTGCCTGTTCTTAATGGAGTGGCTCTAAGTCAACCTGTTATATCCTTGCCCAGAAATGGACAGGCTACCATACCTGCAGGCTTTCCAGCTGTGCTTGCTACTACCATTCCTGAGCCTATAGGAGAGCCAAGTGAATTTATTTTGTTAAAGAACATGTTTCATCCAAGTACTGAGGTAGGTTTGTAGCATGGCTTATAGCTTGATATTTAATTTTGCTGTGCTAATATTTGTGTTTTTTTACAGACTGATCCTGATTTTGACTTGGATATTAAAGAGGATGTTCAAGAGGAATGTGTCAAGTTCGGCCCCTTGAAGCATATTTATGTGGACAAGTAAGCATTAATATTTTCTTTTAATACTGTGTTTTATTACTGATTGTATGAACTCCTATAATCTAATAATACTTTATTTGCTTGATTTGTCTGTTGTGTTGTCTTCTCTATTTGTTGATATCCATAAAATTTTATCTGTTGATGTCAGTCATTTTGTCTGCCTTATGTGAGTCCCTTTTTTTTTCCCGCACACTTTATATGTTTTCTAGACATGCAGTTGAGTAGTTCATTTCGTAGTAAATTTTTTGATTGTTCTTCACATAAGCAGTTATTTACATGACAAATGCAGATATTTTATCGTTATTAAATTCTTTATCCATTCATGTTAATGCCACAAGGAGTGGAGTGTTGATTTTGTTTAAATTGGAAAAGTTGTGCTCACAACGGCCAATTAATTCAGTGTTCCCATTTCCCATTCCAACCCCAAACAAGTTTAGGAGGGAAGTAAGGGATTTTACAAGCTATGTTGATAAATTATGCCAATTAGCTTCATGGAATTGGGAGATGTTTTCTCAAATTTGATACTAGATGGTTTATAAATAGGTTTCTTAATGCATTTAGGCTGATTCAATGCATAATAAGAATTAGAATTTCATTCTTTTAAATCACTAAATACACAAAAAACTCACGCTGTAAACTCACGCTGTTTAGGTGCAACACAAAAAAAAAAAACAAGAATTCTAAGCAAAATGGTAATGCAATGATTGACTAATTTTGAAGTAACCAAAGAGAGAATCAAACTATGAGAAATATGAACAAGCAATTGATTTTTGTCCCCAAAACTCATCGTGTAATTGTATGAAATTTAAACAAAATAGAAAAGCAATCGAGTATGAAGGTATTTAGAACAAATTGTATCATAGAAAGCATTCACCTACGAGAAGAAGATATCAACCTTACACCAATATAAGGAGATTTTTCTCGGACTTTGATAGTCACGTGTACTACCACCGAAAGAATTTCATATCTATTAGGAGCACAAAATTGAAGTTGGATTATAATTTTGTTGTTGGATCAAAAGTTAACTAGTACATTTCTCAAATGTTCATATTTATAAACTTCTAGTTCTAACTTGACTGCTTCTCATTTACTCAATTAAGATATTGAACCCAATTCTTTACGTAGCATCAAAAATATTGAAGGAATTGCATGACAAGGAAGAGCTTGAAAGAAATCACATACAAAAACTAGAAATTGAACGCAAAGCTGCAAGAATGCAATAGTCACATGAATCACTATCAGACATAAGAACCATTTAGCTATGGCTCACATAATTGAGCGGAAAAATGGGCAAAGAATGACATAACAAGAATTGAAATAATGAACTAACTTAACGAATAACACATTATGTTTTGATTGGCCATCATAAGCATGTTGCAATTTAATTGAAATTACAACTTAGAATTTCTTAATAACGAAAGTAGATATAATTTTGCTTAGATAATGTATTTACATAACACTTTTGACATTCATAAATACATAGATCTTCATTAAAATAGCTCAATTTGAATAAATTCGACTTTGAATAATTTCTCATTTTGTATTTATCAGGCAAGTCAGGATATGTATTTTTTATTTCCTATGAAGCAATTCACTTGTCATCACATATGATTTTGCCATGCTGGTGCATAAGATATTTTCAAAATTTACTTTTAGTAGTGAACACAAACTATGTAGAATTGTTTAGCATATGATTTGGATGTACATTCACACGAAGAAATGGGAAGAGAGGAATCAAATGACACATTAACTTGTTCATAAAAATAGTTTAAATTAAACATATTAAAAGTTATATTAATGTCATAATTTAACGGAGTTTCTAATTTATAAGCATTAGCTCTAATGCACTATGAGATTTTAAATGGTCCCATCTTTTCTAATTTGTAGCCTTTGCAACCGTTTGCGATACAGTCGTGATTATAGCTAATTGGGAAGCAATAATGAAGGTTCGTGGCGTACAATTCATGCATGTCACTCCTTTGTGATTGCACCTCGCGATACAACCGTGAATCGTGCTATTTGGGAAGAGGGATCAGGACATAAATACAGTAGGGCACATAGGTTCCACATTATACATACTGGATTTCAGCTTACAATATTTTTGCCTTTGTGATCAAAAACTTATTGAAAGTTATGATGGTAAAATAATAGATGCTCTCGAAGAAAAATTAGAGAATAGATAAGTCACATTAGATTTGAAATAGAGGAGCATTTCTAGGTAATAGAGGATTGTTTCTCGTTCATAAAGGGGTGGTTCCAGTAGAGGTTTATAATTTTGGAAGAAATGATGAAAAGTTCATGGAGTTTCATGTAACACTTTTCTACCTGCAGCGACATCAAGTGATGGCGTTTTGAGAGGACACGAGAGGGAGTAACTAGAATGATTCAGAAGACATTAGAGCAATGTTGTCACTTTAGGCAGATATGGAGTTGCGAGATCAGGTGAAGGGATCGGGAGCAGACTCAAGCGATAGCCATATGAAGGAACTGTGTCATAAGAAAAAACGTCAATATGAAGGAATAATGTCAGCCCCTATGCATGGGATCTGTTGACCTCATTTTTGGTGAGGTCTAGTCTTCTTCTTAGGGTTTAGGATCTAGCCTTAGAGACCTCCCTTCGACTATCTTAGAACCTTAGAAATGGGACCCGCCTCGTTCTAGAAATTCAACCCGCTTCTGTACTCTTTTGTGGTTTCTCGTGTGTGGTATCGACTTCTAACACTTAGAAGGATGAAACCAACATGAGGAACCCAAAAGGGATTCCTATAGGACCTTTTTAGCCTTAGGGTGACCTGCATAATTCGCACTCCCGCGCGCATAAACTTCGCAATTCGGAGAGTCGACGCGTCCGATCGCCATGATTCGCATCGCTTGCACTGTTATTCATCGAGGGCTCGAGTAAACTTTTTGAGACAATCGATCGCGGGTCGAAATTTTGTGAAATTTGAA